TGGTTGACTGTGTGGGATGTGGCAGATCCTTCGTGTGTGCAAAGGACAAACTTCCAGAGCTCCATGAACTTCCCATCTGGTTGGAGCTTTGGAAGATGGTTCAACCCTCCCTTTGTGATCTGGTGTTGCCAGGCAGGATTCTGAAGGGTTCCTGGAATGACTCGGAGCTGGAAAAGGGTTTGAGGCTCAAGGAATCCACCTTGGTCAGCCAGGGAGGGATGGAACTCCGGAGGGTGGGTCTGGAATTCCATCACCAGTCTGCAGGTTCTCAGTAGGAGCATCTTGGGATCTGGATAATCCTGCAGCCTCTCTCCAGACTGGAATGTTGAGGTTGGTATTCCAGAACACTCTGTTCTCTTCCTGTTGGTGAAGATTGACCCCCAAAGCCCTCGAGTTGTGCCACGGTCTGTGTTTATCCCAGTTGGTGGCCCCGTCCTGGTGTTTGGCCAGAAGGGAGCTCTGGAGCAGGACAAGTTTAATTCAGGAGTCAGAGCTTCCTTTCCTCCAAGGAACTTCTTATTCCTGGGAATTTGGGGTTCAGGTGCTTCATTGTCAGGCCAAGCTTCTCTGTACAGACATGGAATGAGGGTACGGACAAGATGCCACATGGAATGCCAGGATGGGTTGGGTTGGAGGGACCTTAAAGCCCATCCCATTCCACCCCCTGCCATGGGCAGGGACACCTTCCACTAGCCCAGGTTGCTCCAGCCTGGCCTTGGACACTTGCAGGGATCCAGGGGCAGCCACAGATGCTCTGGGAAATCCATTCCAGGGCCTCCCCACCCTCCCAGCCAGCAATTCCTTCCCAATCTCCCATCTGTCCCTGCCCTCTGGCAGTGGGAAGCCATTCCCTGTGTCCTGTCCCTCCAGGCCTTGTCCCCAGTCCCTCTCCAGCTCTCCTGGAGCCCCTTTAGGCCCTGCAAGGGCCTCTCAGGTCTCCGTGGAGCCTTCTCTTCTCCAGGGGATCCCCCCCAGCTGTCCCAGCCTGGCTCCAGAGCAGAGGGGCTCGTAGGACTCAGAATTCCTAGAACTCATCCAGCACCTACAAATCTGTGCTAAAAAAAAGAGCTCAGGCTGGAAAATGAGCGTTGAAGAATTTGTTGCTGGAAAGGGTGGTGAGGCCTTGGCAGGGGCTGCCCAGGGAGGTTTGGAGTGCCCAGCCCTGGAGGTGTCCCAGGCAGGCCTGGCCGTGGCACTCAGTGCTCTGGGCTGGGGGACAGGGTGGGGATGGGGCACAGGGTGGCTCCATGGGCTGGGAGGGCTTTTCCAGCCTCAGGGATCCTGGGATTCTAGGATTGAAAACAGCAACTGAATTATGATCAGAAGAAGGGGGACTTTATCTCCCATGAGATAAAGTCTTCCCTTTATCTTCCAAGCTTCACCTCCTTGTCAGCTGGGAGGGGTCAGGCTGAGTGGGAAATGTCCCACGGGAGCAGATGATGGTCCATTAGCCCAGTTCCCCCTCCGTGACAGTGGCATTACAAGATTAATTGTAATTAATTAAGGAGATTACTCAAGGAGATCGCATTTCCTGGCCATTCCAGGTGGTCCATTGCCCTCATCCCTTCCAGCTTCCAACGTCGTGGCACTGGTGATGTCAGCAGGGATGTCCCTGCTCGGTCCTGTTGCAGTCTGAGCGTGTTCCAGTGGTTGGTATTTCCAGCCTGTCTCCCCAGGGAAGTTGCTCCATCCCCTTGACCATTTTAGTTGCCCTTTCCTGGTCCTGCTGCAGTTCCATCTCTTCCTGCTGGAGATGCTGAACCAGAGCAGCTCCCAGCACGTGCAGAGCCCCAGGACGACACACCCCACCTCCCTTTCCACCTCTTCCCTGACAGCTTTGGTTGCCTTTTTTTTTGGCTGCTCCTGTGCACCGAACCCACGACTTGGAGAGCTCAGCATCAACTCCAGGACCTGCCTGGAGCTGAACCCACCAGGTCCATGTCCAGCATCGTGCTGGTGGCTCCTGCCTTTGCCTGTATTTGCCTCCCTTCCCTCTCAGTTTGGGATCCTCCTGGGTCTCCTCAGCACTGATGCCTCGTTTGGCTGCTCAGTTTTCAATGCCCAGGTTGTGACACCTTTCCCTCTGGAATGTTTTAAAGACCCTTTCTGCACGATTTGACTCGTGATTTATTGTCTCCTTCCAAGCCTAAAGCACGAACAGGGCACCCTGGTCAGGCCCTGTGTCCAAGAAACTGGAATTTTTCCTTATTTCTGTGCATTACCGGAGTCCTGCTGCCTGGCTCTGCTCAGGGAGCTGGAGTTGATTGTTTTGTTCATTTTCTGCCTCCTCTTTCGTGTCAAAGTGCTTTTCTTCCTCCTGTGGGAGAGGGAGTTGTGCTCCCAGAGCTGACATTCCGTACTGGAGAAGGGGGGTGGCTGATCTCGGATCACCTGCGCTCAGCAGCTCCTCTTCCCTCTCCATCTCCACACACCGGGGTCTCTTGTGGCTTCTCCAGGCTGGGATCGAGGCTCCTTCCCACTGGGAAGTGCCCAGGCAGGGTTTGGTGGGAGCTCCCCTCCCTGGGGGGAGCAGATCCATCCCCGGTTCCGAGTGATCTCAGCTCCAGTTTCTCATCCCAGACTGACTCAGCTCTGAGGCAGAAACGGAGCAGGGAATGTTCACACCATCTTCTGTGAGCTCAGCTCGCCTCCCTGGCAGACCCTTCCCTCGATCTGGCTTTGGAATTTTTCCAAAATCTTTGCTCCAAGGAGTTCTTTGTGGCTCTGAGGTTCATCCAGGGCTCTGATGTTCATCCCCAGGAACAGGAGCTGGATCGGAGTTTGTGTTTGTCAGAAACTGGGGGTTGTCTCTGACTGGGGAGGACCTCCCTGGAATCCTGGGGTCAGTTCTGGGCCCTCAGACAGGAGAGCCATGGAGGGGCTGGAGCGTGTGCAGGGAAGGGAAGGGAGCTGGGAAGGGGCTGGAGAACTCCTGAGGGAGCTGGGGGGGCTCATCCTGGAGAAAAGGAGGCTCAGGGGGGACCTTCTGGCTCTGCAAGTCCCTGCCAGGAGGGGGGAGCCGGGGGGTCGGGCTCTGCTCCCAGGGAACAGGGACAGGACAAGGGGAACCGGCCTCAAGCTGTGCCAGGGGAGGCTCAGGTTGGCCCTGAGGAGGAATTTGTTGCTGGAAAGGGTGGTGAGGCCTTGGCAGGGGCTGCCCAGGGAGGTTTGGAGTGCCCAGCCCTGGAGGTGTCCCAGGCAGGCCTGGCCGTGGCACTCAGTGCTCTGGGCTGGGGGACAAGGTGGGGATGGGGCACAGGGTGGCTCCATGGGCTGGGAGGGCTTTTCCAACCTCAGGGATCCTGGGATTCTGGTCAGACCAAACAGTTGCCTGACAGGTCTGCCCTGTGATCAGCTCTCCTGGATAATATCCATCCCTGACCTCCTGTGTCATTCCAGCTTTTTGGCTGCTTTTCTTACCTGCTTTCTGCAAGGTCTCATTCCTGGTCTAGTGGGAGGTATCCCTGCCCATGACAGGGTTTGGATCTGGATGGGCTTTAAGGTCCCTTCACACCCAAACCATTCTGGAATTCCATGATAAAAGCTGGAAGCAGCAGGCTGTTCCATGCCTGTTCCCTGGGAAGGAGCAGGGTGATGTTCCAGTGTCCCACGCAGGTGACAAAACCCTTCCCAGGCCATCAGCTCTGAGCATTTTCTGGGTGGTGGTTTTCCAATACTTGCAGTTTTCAGCTGTGTGATGCTGGGGCAGTGCCAGGATTGGCAGAGCACTGGATTTGGGAAGAGGCAGAGGGATGATCCAGTTACTTCCCAACCTGTGAGGCTGAAATCATTTGCTGGCAACAGAACTGAACAGTCAGGTGCTTGTAGGCAGTGCATGAAGGGTTAAAAAGCAGGATGCAACTGCCAGCAGAGAACTTCATAAAGGAAATTTGGGATCATTTGGGAGGAGGATATGCAGGATAACCACGCTCTGGGATTCAATCCATTCCACCCCATTTGTCCCAAAAAAAACCCCAAGATGAAGAGCTGATTCCACCAGAGGAGGTTGGTAATTTGATCAGAGTCAAATTTTCTGAGGAAAACGCGTGTTTTTGTGAAAATGGAATCGTTATGGAATCAATTATGAACAAAATTAGATCGATGGAATGATTGGATATTTGGAGTAAAAGGATTCTTTCCAAAGCTTTGCAGCTCTGGAAACAGGGAGGATCCATTTCAGAATTTGGTTCAGCACCAAAATGTTACCCAGAGGGAGGGTCTGTGAGACCCCTGTGTTCATGGAATCATGGAATCACTGAGGGTGGAAAAGCCCTCTGAGATCAAGTCTAGCTGTCCCCCAGCACTGCCAAGGCCACCACTGCGTCCCCAAGTGCCACATCCACCGGGCTTTGAAATCCCCCCAGGGCTGGGGACTCCACCCTGCCCTGGACAGCCCTTTCCAGGAAGGAATTTTCCCAATATCCAGCCTGACCTTCCCCTGGCACAGCTTGGGCCTTCCTCCTCTTGTCCTGTCCCTTGTTCCTTGGTTGCTCCCTGTCCATGGCTCCTCGGTCGATGCCCCGGTGCTGAGGTTGCCTTTTCCAGGTTATTTTTGGGTTGGTGCCTCAGAGCTGTTGGATCAATCACCCTTCCCAGCACCTCTGGCACACCTGAGGCACAGCTCAGGTCCTGCAGATCCAGGAGCCTCGTGGCATCGTGGAATGGTTTGGGTTGGAAGGAACCTTACCCATCCAGTGCCACAGGCAGGGACACCTTCCACTGGCCCAGGTTGCTGCAAGCCCCATCCAACCTGGCCTTGGACACTTCCAGGGATGAATTAGTGCCCAGGAAAAACTGGGAAACACCCATTTTTCAGTTGATCTGCCTTGGCAGCCCAGCTGTCCATCTCCTCCAGAAGGCCGTGGTCACTGGCTGGTGACTTCCATGAGCCCTGTGCTGTAAAAACCACGGGAAGAGGTGCAAAATAATGCATTTTTTGGGGATAGCACCCCTCAGTTCTCCCAGCAGGCAGCTCTTACTCTGTCTCTGCTCTGCCCCAGGTGAATGGTGTGAACGTGGTGAAGGTGGGGCACAAGCAGGTGGTGTCCTTGATCCGGCAAGGGGGGAACCACCTGGTGATGAAGGTCGTGTCCGTCAGCCGCAAGCCGGAGTCAGAGGAAGTCGTTCGGAAGAAGGGTAGGTGTGAATCCCAGGGCTCCCTGGACTGGGTGGGCGGGACGTGTCACCCAGGGGGTGGGAGCCACCAGAAGGTCCCCAGTGCCACCAGCCAGCAGAGAGGGCACTGAGAGGGGTGCCCTCCATGTGGGAAGCACCGGGATGTGCCAGCGGCTGCGGGTGGGGACGATGGTCCTGCGAGCAGAACAGACAGAGCAAAGCTCAGAGTAAAGCTCAGAGTAAAGCTCAGTGTTCCCTCAGCTACTGAGTCCTGCCTAACCAACCAGCCACTGGGTAGACCCTGTCCTGACAGCCCGTTAAAACCGAGTTTTCCAAAGCGAGGCACTGGAAAAGCTGCGGTTCAACACCAGAGATCTGAGTGGATAAGGAGGGAAAAAAATCATCAGGCTGCCTTTTAATTCTCTACTGGGGCAGCTGCTTCTCACAAAGCTGAGCATTCTGCTGCCATTGCAGTTTGAAGCCTTTTGGGTTTGTTGGGTTTTTTTTTATGAGGCTGAAGACAACAGAATTTATTGTTATGGAGAAGCAGAAGCTGAAATCTGGGAAAACGATATTCCTCGAAAAGATGGAAGTTCCTGACCTAAGCTGGTTTTATCCAGGCGGGACACACAGTTCATTTTGAAAACAAAATTATTGTTATTAAAAAATGATGCAGGTGGTCGGGGTGGGGGGGGTTCTGGCAGATCCCAAGCACTGCTGGGATGCAGGACACCGGCGCTGTTTTCCCACCGGAGCCAACTCCTTGGGATCAGCTGCTCCACACGGTGCTGGAGAGCAGAGACCCCTTCCTTGAGGGGTGTCAGGGTGGGGAAGAGGCCCTGGGGGGGCTGTTGGGGGCAGGATGGTGCCCACAGGAGCTCAGGGGGTGCCAGGATGGGGCCTGTGCTTCCTCAGGGATTTGAGCACTTCCAGCTTTCACACGGAAACCAGTGTGGCACCAGCACTGAGGTTGTTTTTCCTGCAGGCCTTAAACTGAAGGAGGGCAGGGTTAGATGGGATATTGGGAAGGGATTCCTGGCACAGGTTGCCCCCAGAAGCCGTGGCTGCCCCGTCCTGGAATTGCTCCCATCCCCGGAGGCTCCTTTGGCATGGATCTTCCCAGGGCTGCTGGTCACCTGCTGGGACCCCTGGGGTTGGGGACAGCTAGGTGGGGAAGGCAGGAACATCTGGATGGGAGACAGGCACAGCTGGGTACAGGAGGGACACATCCTGGAATGCAGCTGGGGTGGGCAGGGGCCGATCTTGCAGGAGGGGTTTTGGAGCGATTGCAGCTGGGAACCCAACACTGGGAACAGGATGGAGGGGACAGGAGAAGGGGGGTGGGAGTTGGGGGGACAGGAGCAGGAAGGAGATGGGAACGGGAGGGACAAGAGCAGGGCAGTGGGAATGGGGGAGAGAGGAGCATGGGAATGGGAGTGGGGTGACAGGAGCAGGGGGATGGGAACGGTGGAGCCAGGAGCAGAGGGATGGGAGCGGGGGGGCCGGGATCAGGGGGATGGGAGCACAGAGATGGGAACAGTGGAGCCAGGATCAGGGGGATGGGAGCGGGGGGCCGGGATCAGGGCGCTCCCAGCGCAGCACGAGGGGCGAGGGGGAGGGAGCAGCTCTGCTGGCACCGAGAGCTGCAATTATGTTGTCACGGCACAAAAAGCAGAGCCGTGGGAAAGGCTGAGCTCGGGAATCAGCCCTGGGACCCCCGGGGGTGCCACTCGCCCCTTCTGCTGGCGCTTCCAGCCCCGCAGCCAGGGAGCAGCCGCCTGGCGCTGCCCGCTGCCCACTCCCCGAGCCCGGAGCCGAGGGGCCACTCTTGGAGTGCGGGCACCGGAGCCAGGTCCCCTGTGCGGGACCCCCCGCCTGCAGCGGGGCCGGGGGGTGGCTCGGACCCCCCTCACCCCCTCGCCGGGGTGCTGGGGGCCTGTGTGGGACTGGCTCGGGCTGAATCCGCCCCGTTGGGTCCCTGATGCAGCAGCAGAGCCTGGAGCTCCAGTTGCCATGGCAATGCCTGAGCGTTGAATCCAGCATTGTCAGCCAGCGAGGAGGAGGAGGAGGCACCCAAGTGAAGAGGAAGAGCCTTCAACTCATCCCCGTGCCGGTGGGCTCACGGCTCATGGCAGCCCGGGATAGGGAGCCCTCGGGGCCATTCCCACGGCCCGTCCCGGCCACGTGTCCGGGTTGTCGGTCGCCGAGCCCGACGCCAGCGCTGCCGTAGGGGCCGGAGCGAGCGGAGCATCATCCCGGCCCGGGCACGGCGGAGGAGGGTGGGTGGGCTGCGCTCCGGGGGCTGCGCCGAGGCGGGAAGGACAGACCAGGCGGGAAGGAAGGAAGGAAGGACAGCCGGAGCCGGGCCCCACCGGCCGCGTTCCTCCCTCCCACCCCCGGCCATGGCGCGAGCGGAGGGGCCGTGACAGCCGAGCCCCAGCTCGGCAGGCGCTGCCCGAGCCGGGCTTAACTCGCGGGGGGCTCCCGTAGCCGGAGCCCCTCCGGCGGCTGCAGGGGGGAAGGCGCAGCCCAGGGATATGACTTGGACTCTGCTCCTCGGCTGAGGGCTCCACGTTCCTGCGGGAGCTCCGGGGCCTCGCCCCGTGCCCGGGACTGTGGCACCGAGACCATGAAGAAGTTCGCTTCCACGCGCAGCCTCAATAAGATCCTGCAGCAGTGCGACTCCTCATCCCGCGAGTACGAGGAGATCCAGGCTGTGGAGAAGAAGTGGCACCTGCATCTGGCCACTCCTCGTAAGTTCCTGGACAAGAAATGCAAAATGCCGTCTCTCTTCCTTTCAGCTCCGCCGCCTCCCAAGAGAGCGCCCAGCACCACCCTGACGCTGCGGTCCAAGTCCATGACGGCCGAGCTGGAGGAGCTGGGTAAGGGCGGGGGGCTCGGCCGGGCGCGGGGGGCGCGGGGGGCCGGGGCTGGAGCGCGCTGCGCTCCCGGTGCCCGGAGAGCTGCATGAGCAGGAGCGCCGGGCGATGTTTCCCCTGCTGCGCCGGAGGTCCCGTCGTGCTCGGAGGGCTGTGGGGGCTCAGAGCTTGCAGAGATTGCAGGATTAGGGGTGCAGGACACCCCCCTCCCCCAGAGCCACCCACCCCTCCGGTGTCGCATCCCCGCGGAGGCGGCCGGGGGGAGGACGTTGGGTGTCTCCGTGTGCTCGTGGAGGGCTCTCCACCCACGGGCCCCGGCCGGCAGGAACCCTCTTCCTCTCCCTGCTCCTCTCCCTGCTCTTCTCCCTGTTCCTCACCCTGTTCCTCTCCTTGCGCCCTCTCTCTCTTCGTCACCCTACTCATCTCGGGCTCCTCTCCCTGTTCACCCTGCTCCTCTCTTTGTTCCTCTCCCTGCTCCTCTTTGTTCCTCTCCCTGCTCATCTCCCTGTTCCTCACCCTACTCACCCAGCCTCTCTCCCTGCTCCTCACCTTCCTCACCCTCTCCTCACCCTCTCCTCTCTCTGTTGCTCACCCTGCTCACTCCACTCCTCTCGTGCTCCTCGCCTTCCTCACTCCTCTCCCTCTCTGCTCCTCACCCTGTTCCTCACCCGTTCCTTTCCTTCCTCTCCCTGTTCATCTCCCTGCTCCTCACCTCTCCTTACCCTGCTCCTCACCCTCTGCTTACCCTGTTCCTCAGCCCTCTCCATGTCCACTCCTCTGTCCACTCCTCTTCACCTTCCTCACCCTGCTGTTATCCCTGCTCCTCATCACTCTCAGTCTTCATCCCTCTCCTCTCCCCTCTCCTGTCCCTGCTCCCACACACCTGGCGGCCCCAGGCTTTTATTCCCCCCTCTCTGGGCAGGTGCCACCCCGTGCCAGGTGAGCTCCAGGTGCTCACTCCCCGCCCTGCCCTCCCGCCATGCCCACTCCCGTGCCCACCCGCTCACACTCCACAGCCTGCCCACGTTTCCAGCTGCTTTGCTCTCCAAGCTGGAGCTCCCCGTTCCTGTAATTCCCTGAAAGCCTCTCCACCCCCAGCCCTTCCTTTGCTTCCCTGGGCCGGAGCCCCTCGCTTCTCCCAGCCCTTGTGGCCACCTCGGGGTGCCACGGTGTCCCCGGTGTCACCCACGGGTGTGGGGGGGGCTGTGCACCCCCCTCGCTCCCTTCCCTTGGTGCGTTGTCCCCAAGGGTGGCAGAGGTGCCACCGGAGGGGGTGGCAGGTGGGACAGTGGCCACGTGGCCCTTGTGGCTGGATGGGCAGTGGGAGATGTGGAGGGACTCCCATCCCGGGCAGACTTTGGGGCATCCGTGTGGTTGGCTCTGCCAGGAGAGGTGCCAGGGCTGGCACAGGGGGGAGGACAGGCTGCCACCCCTCCGAGGGCACCGGCAGAGCCAGAGGAGCTGTTGCCATGGAGATTTAGGGATTTTCCCTGTGGAAGTGTGCCCTCCTGCGCCATGAGGATTTAGGGATTTTCCCTGTGGAAATGTGGTGGTGTGGCCACGGCACAGGGTCCAGTCCCGGCTGTGCAGGAGCCTTGACAGGACCCCACATCCCTCTGTTTTCCCATGTCCTTCCTTTCTCCCTGCCCTCAGTGTGTGACCAGGATTCCCAGCCCTGTGGGCTCCTCAGAGGAGCCAAATCCAGTGCAGCTGGGATGGATCTCGGCATTCCAGGGATGGAATCAGCTGTGGTCACTCCAGGGTTGGCATCAACCTTGGTTTATTCTGTGCTGCTCTCTCTGCCCTTATTCCCACCCTGGCCTGCTTCCTGCGTCTCCAGACCTTTATTCCCAAGCCAAAGGCTCTGTCTTTGCCAGGATCCATTTGGAATGGCCCCTTCCTTCTCCTTTTTGCCCTTCCCTGTGCCCAGACCCAGCCTGGACTCCTGGGTTCCCACTCCCACCCTTGGCTGTGACCCAGAGAGCCATTCCCAGCCATGTGCTGTGTCCCACCTGGAAAGGGATTGGGAGCATCAACCCCATTGTCTCCCAGGAGAGGGATTTGGAGGCAGTGAGTGGTGGTGTCAACCCACGTGTCCTCCAGGAATGCAGTGGTCGGTGCCTTCCTCAGCCCTGCTGATCAGGGAATGCCCCTCCTCTTATCCCACAGGGAAAATGGGGAATCATCCCCCCTCCCACACTTGGATGGTGCTTGACCCTCCAGAGGGAGTTGCCATGTGGATCAGCACCTCATGCCTTGTCTTAGAGCCCTCTCTCCTTCCCAAGGGACCCCGGTGGCAGTGAAGGGACATTCCCACCTGCAGCTTCCCAATGGAAGCTCTGTCAGGTGCTCCTTGCCCCGTTTTCCTTGGATCCTGTCCCTCCCTGCAGCTCCCAGCCCATCCCATGCACCCACAGCCCCACGGAATATTCCCTTGCTGCCTGTCACGTCAGTCCCCTTGGGAGAGCAGATTCCCAGCAAGCTGCAAACAAAGCCCTCCCATCCCAAAATCCCGGCCGTGCTGGATGCAGGGAAGGGCTTTGGGAAACGTGAGGCTGCCCTGGAGAGCAGGGAGGCACTGAGAGCTTTGGAAGAGCTGCCAGGGCATCAAATCCACCCAGCTCTGCTCCCACTCTGGCTTCCCTCTGCTTCCCTGCTCCCACGAGGAGGGTGAGGGATGGGTGGAGGGCTGATCCCAGCAGATCCCAGGGCTGGGATCAACGAGGTGCCACACCCTCCACCCTGCCAAGCCTTTGCCCCGGCAGAGGCTCCACATCCCGGGCTGGATCCGGCTCCTGCCCGCATGCCAGAGGCAGGGACGCATCGGGAGCAGGCAGGGCAGGCAGCCAGGCTGGAGCTGGGCTGGAAGCAGGAATTGTGCATGCCATTCATGTTGTCTTTTGTTTCTTGCTTCCAAAGCCTCCATGCGGAGAAGGAAAGGGGGTGAGTGAAATTGCACATCCTGGGGCTCCTCCCTTCCCTGCCAGCACCCTCCCCAGCACCCCCCCAGCACCCCCCAGCACCCAGACAGGGACACCCCAGCACCCTGAGGGGCTGGATGGGGTCGCTGTCCCCACAGAGTCCCGGGAGGATCATCCCGGTGGCAGCCGGAGCTCAGGGCTGGCACCAGTGCCATGGTGAGGTACAGGAGCTGGGATAAAGGAACTGGGATTCAGGAGCTGGGATTCAGGAGCTGGGATACAGGAGCTGGGATACAGGAGCCAGGGTGGCCGTGTGGGGCTCTCCTTGGCATGGGCAGGATGCCCGTTTGTCCCTGAATTCCAAGGGCTGCCCTTCCCAGGGGTGATCCCTGCCCTGTGTTTGCTCCACGGTGAAAATCGGCGCAGGAACGTCCCCAGGTGGGGTCCCCTTCCAGGGGAAGGGACAGTGCCGTGTCCAGCATCATCCCACATGTCCAAAGTCTCTGCTCCTGCCTCCATGCAGGTTGTCCCGCTGCTCCTGGCGTTCCCACTGCTCCCACACTGAGGGAGATGTCACGGGAGGGACACGACAAAATCAGGAGGTTTTTGGTGGAAGGTGTCCCTGCCCGTGGCAGGGGTTGGAACGGGATGGGCTTTAAGGTCCCTTCCAACCCAAACCATTCTGGGATTCTCGCCAGGGCTGAGAGCCAGGAAGAGACAATCCAAAGGGAGCCCGAGGCTCATCCAGCTCGGTGTTCCCGCAGCCCTGGGGCAGAGGGGAGGGAGCCTGGAGCCCTGAGCTCAGCCCTCAGCCTCTCAGAGGCAAAACAGCCCTGGTGGTTCCTGCTCCCTGGTCCTGCTCCCCAAGGAGCTGGGAATGTGAGGAGCCAGCTCTTCCACGGCAGTGGGGGCAGGACAGGGAGGCAGCTGAGCAGGGATGGCACGTGGGAGGACTCTGAGGGACCCCCACCCCTCCCCTGGGCTGGGCACACCCCTCAGTACCCAGAGGGGGCCACACAGGGTCCCCTGGGTGAGGACAATCAGCTGGAGGCCACCAGGGGTGTCCTGGCAGCAGAGATGGCTCCAGGATGCTCTTTCTGGAGTGGAAGAGAAGGATCTGGGGAGACTTTGGAGCCCCTTCCAGTGCCTGAAGGGGCTCCAGGAGGGCTGGAGAGGTTCAGGATGTTACATGTTTGTCCCAGGCAGACACTGGAGTGACACTGGTTGTGCTGGGGACAAGGAATGTCAGGGCCATTCAGGCACCTGAGTCCACTCAGGCTGGACACATCCCAGTTTTTCCCAGACACTGGAGTGGCACTGGTTGTGCTGGAGCCTCGTGGATCCCATGGACATCCATGGTCCCTGTGGCACCCGGGTTTCCCAGCACCTCCCACTCCTCCTTTGCCCACCTTGGCGGGGGACTCGGCTCATCCCGAGTATCAGAAATAAATCTGGGGAAAAATTTGCTCTTTGGTGTCAGATAGAGGATTCCTTGGAATGTGGCACAGCCAGGAGAGGCCCCTCGGGTGCTGGGAAGTCAGAGCCCGGCTCAGGCACTGCCAGGACGGGGTGGGAAGGTGGCTCGGCATGGCATGGCGTGGCACGGTGCCACCCTGAGCCGAGTGGGATCAAACTCCCCCCTCCAAAATCCTTGGAAAGCTGCTGGCTGGGCAGGAGAGGACGAGCTCCCCCAGGGACTGTGGCTCCCTGCTCGGGGCTGTCGGAGGGGAGGTGCCCCAGGGCCCTTCCCCTGACCCGCCGCCATTCCCCCTTGGATTCCAGAGAAGCTGGATGAGATCCTGGCGGCCGCAGAGCCGGCGCTGAGGGCGGATATCGTGGAAGCAGATTCCAGGGCAGCCACTGTGAAACAGAGACCAACCAGCCGGCGCATCACGCCCGCGGAGATCAGTGTGAGGGAGGGGAACCGGCCCGGCGGGGAGGGCGGGGACGGAGAGGGAGGAGAGGGCGTGGAGAACACGCGGTGCCAAGTGGAGCTGCTGATGGGCTGGTGCTGGGAGGGGGATTCCCCGGGAATAGGGAGGGAGAGAGTCTGGGAACACCAAGAGCACGGGCTGCCCGTGGGAGTCACCCTCTCTGTGCCACCCGGGACAGGGAGAGGGGATGGGAGGGCTAACCCTGCCCAGGGCAGCATCCCAGGGTTTGGAGAGCAGGGCTGGGGGCAGGAGCGAGGACGGGGAGGTGCGGCTCTCCCCAGAGGTGGATTTTGGGCGTTGTCCCCAAAGGGTCGTGGTGCCACCAAACCCCAGGGCTGGCTGGGGTGGGTCCTTGGCCCCGTTCCAGCAGGCTGCTGGTGCAGGTGGAGGTGCAGGTGAGGGTGGTCTATCCCTGTCCTCGGGCACAGGGACAGGGGCTGTCCCTGTGGGCAGATCCCATTTCCCGGCAGTCAGGAGGGCTGAGGTGAACTGTGGGGTCCTCCCAGCTGGGCCTGGCTGATACCTGGAGTGGAAATTCCCTGTTTTTCCCCTTGCAGTCCCTCTTTGAGCGCCAGGGCATGGCAGCACACTCGGGGGTCCTGGCGGGAGCTGAGAAGCCCCACGTTTCCCTGCGCAAAGGAATTCCACGGACAAAATCCGTAGGTAAGACCACCTGGGGTGGGGAAAAAATCCCTTTAGGAAGAGGAGGGATGGGCCCCTGTGGGCAGGAAAGGCCCAGCCCTTCCAGCTCTGTGAGGTGGGAGCTCATTCCCATGGAATTCCTGCTTCGAGGGCTGCCTGGCCCTGCTCGGAGCGGGAGGTGGGGTTGGAGCAATCCAGGGGTTCCCTGCTCGGCTCTGCGGGGGCCAGGGGGGCTCTGCCACCCTCCTTGTTGGCACAGGGGGTGGAGGGTTGGAGTGTCACCCCTGGGCTGGCACAGGCTGAGCCACAGGGCAGGAACCAGCAGAGCTGGGGCTTAGGAGAAGCAGGACAAGGTCTGGAGCAGGCACCTACCTGGCAGTGCTGGGTCCTTGATGGTGGGTCCAAAGGGTTCGTGGTGCCCCCAAACCCAAAAACTGGCTGTGGTGGGTCCTGGACTCTGTTCCTACAGGTTTATGGTGTTACCAAACCCAAAACCTGGCTGTGGTGGGTCCTTGACCCTGTTCCAATAGATTTATGGTACCACCAAACCCCAAACTGGCTGTGGTGTGTCCTTGGTTCTGTCCCAAAGGGTTTCAGGTGCCACTAAACCCAAAACCAGCTGTGGTGGATGCTGGACCCTGTTCCAACAGGTTTATGGTGCCACCAAACCCAAACCCACCCTCCACTGGCCCAGGCTGCTCCAAACCCTGTCCAGCCTACCCTTGGACACTTCCAGGGATCCAGGGGCAGCCACAGCTTCTCTGGGCAACCTGTGCCAGGGCCTGCCCACCCTCCCAGCCAGGAATTCCTCCCTAGGGATGTGCTCCATGGAAAGGGATTATTTGAAGGGAATCCCATGGCATCATCTGGGTGTGAGGGCGGTGCCAAATCCAGTTGTGTGTTTGGCACACCAAATAAGGGTGTTCAAGGTGTGCTTTGGAATGCTCAGAGTGCCAGGATTTCTGTGGATACACACCTGGGACGGGTTGGGATGGGAGCTGCCAGTACCTGGATTTCCACAGGGGATGGAGCTGAGATAATCAAATCTATGGGATTAACCTGAGAAAGAAAATAGGGGAGGAAATTTAAAAAAAAAAAAAAAAAACCAGGAAAATTGTGTATTTCTGGGGCTGCCCTGTGTTGGTGAAGCTCCTGCCGTGACTTCCATGGGCAGAAAGTGCCCAAGGCTCTGGAGGGTGGAACTGGAAATTGGATAAAATGGGGTAAAATGGTGTTCATGGATGTTCAGGACTGGATCCATCACCTGGGAACATGGAAAAACCCCATCTAAGCCCCGTGTCCCAAACCTTCCACAGTGACCAGAGAGGAACTGGGACTTTTAATCTGATTTATGTCAAGTCTTGATCTTGGAGGTGGATCCTGCCCCGGTGCCGTTGGCTGGGAGGAGGATCCAGGGATTATGGGAGACAGGGCTGGGTTCCCAAACTGGGTCCTGGTGGTTGGTTCAGGTGTGAGAATGGAAATGCTCCGGAGAGCAGAGGTTGTGGAATGTTCAGTCCAACCCCAAAGAGCTGAAATTGTGTCCAAAGGGATCTGCTGTGTGGAATCCAGGGATGGTGGTTCAGGGGTGGATCGTGGATTGGGAAAGTGTTCATGGAGTTGCTGCCAGGGCTGGATCCCTCTCCTCTGGAGCCAGGCTGGGAGAGCTGGGGGGATCACCTGGAGAAGGGAAGGCTCCAGGGAGACCTGAGAGCCCCTTGCAGGGCCTAAAGGGGCTCCAGGAGGGCTGGAGAGGGACTTGGGACAAGGGATGGAGGGACAGGACACAGGGAATGGCTTCCCAGTGCCAGAGGGCAGGGACAGATTGGAGATTGGGAAGGAATTTCTGGCTGGGAGGGTGGGCAGGCCCTGGCACAGGTTGCCCTGAGAAGCTGTGGCTGCCTCTGGATCCCTGGGAGTGTCCAAGGCCAGGTTGGAGCACCCTGGGCTGGTGGAAGGTGTCCCTGCCCATGGCAGGGGGTGGCACTGGAAAAGTTTAAGATCCCTTCCCCCAAAACCATTCTATGATTCTGTAAAATATGGAATCCTTCCTGTGAATTGTTCCTGAGTGCAGTTGCTGCCTCAGGAAGTCCCTCCAAGCTCTCACTGGGCTGTGCAGGTACTGCCAGGGACCTCTGCAAGCAGAGACAGTAGAAAGTGGGATCTGGAGCTGGGTTTGTATAAATGTGAGATTGGTTGGGATGTCTGTAGGGATCAGGAAGGTCCTCCTGGCTCTGCAAGTCCCTGCCAGGAGGGGGGAGCCGGGGGGGTTGGGCTCTGCTCCCAGGGAACAGGGACAGGACAAGGGGAAACGGCCTCAAGCTGTGCCAGGGGAGGCTCAGGTTGGCCCTGAGGAGGAATTTGTTGCTGGAAAGGGTGGTGAGGCCTTGGCAGGGGCTGCCCAGGGAGGTTTGGAGTGCCCAGCCCTGGAGGTGTCCCAGGCAGGCCTGGCCGTGGCACTCAGTGCTCTGGGCTGGGGGACAAGGTGGGGATGGGGCACAGGGTGGATCCATGGGCTGGGAGGGCTTTTCCAACCTCAGGAATTCTGGGATCACACTCTGTGAGCACAGAGTGAAGTGTTCCCTGTGCCTCTGGTTTGTTGGTGCCCTGATCTGGCTGGTGCAGCCACATCCCCCCCCCCAAAAAAAAAGGAGATTAAAAACCCTCCTTTAATCTGCATCAGGAGAGATGAAATCCGAGTGGGAGATGCCCTGCTCAGAGCAGGAATAGCTGCAGCTGTCACAGCACATCCCAGCAAGAAACCCAGGGAAAAATCCCACGTGGCTCCAGTGATGTCCCAGCCGGGATTGCCGTGCCTGTCCCCACCGAGGGACGATCCCTGCCGGGGGGGGGACACGGGAAGCACACCCAAAGCAGCACCTCTGAGAAACCTGAGGCTGATTCCTGTGGAATTCCAGGGAAGCCAAAATAGCCAAGAGCCAAACAGGAGAAATTGGGTTGCACTGGGCTCGTTTTAGAAGTCCTTGAGCTGTCATTCCCCACCCACGGCAGCGGCTCAGCCCTGCACAGGCAGTTGACTTCATGATAAAAAAAATCACTACTGTGAGCGAGGAACGAGCTGGAAAACGAGCAGGGGTTGGGTGGTTGGGTGGATTTTTGGGGAAGAAAGAGAGAGCTCCGGGTGGCATTTGCATATTGCACAGCTGCTTTAGATTCCTGGGGACTCGTGAGGAAAGATCAAAAGATTCCTTTCGTGTTAAGAGCTAAAAATTCCCGGAGATAAAGGTGGTTAACCCCCGCCTGGCTCCAAGGGAAGCGGGATGGGAGGAATATTTCGACCAAAATGGGAAGGAGTGCATTGCAGTGGGGAGGCTGGGAGGGAAGATAATCCCTGTCAGACTTCCAAGAGAGCTGCCACACCATCTGCTCCGGCAGCAGGAGTTAAAAAACACTGGAGAGAGAGGCTGCAGAGCCACCCAGTCCCTTCCCAGAGCAAACTCCAGAGGATGGAGATGGTGGTTTTTGCAGGGATGGAAGGAGAGGGGTGTCCCCAGGGCTGTGGGGGGGAAGATGCACCGTCCTGCCCAAGTGCTGTCATGGTGTTCAAATTGGCATGAGGATCATCCTGGAATGGTTTGTGTGGGAAGGGACCTTAAAATCATCCAGTGCCACCCCCTGCCATGGGCAGGGACACCTTCCACTGGCCCAGGGTGCTCCAAGCCCCGTCCAACCTGGCCTGGGACACTTCCAGGGATGCAGGGGCAGCCACAGCTTCTCTGGCCAACCTGTGCCAGGGCCTGCCCACCCTCAGTGAAAAAACTCCTTGGATGTCAAGTGCCTCCTGCTCAGGGGTGTGTGTGCCCATCCTGGGCACCAGGGCATGGTGATGCTCATCCCTGGGCATCCCAGGATGGAGATTCCTAACCCTGGGCACCAGAGGATGGTGATAACTCTCCCACTTTCCAATTCTGGACACAAGAGAATCTGTGAAACTCGGCCCCCTCCTGTTCCCAGGGCTGGGATTGGGAGCTGCTCTTCCATCCCTGCCTTGGAAAGCAAGGCTGGGAGCAGAGGGGTGGGCCCTGGATGGAGCCACCTCATTAGCCAGCCCCAATTAATGCAGAGGCAGGTTCTCCCAGGGATTTGGGCTGTTATGGCAACCGGCCCAGAGGCATCATGGAAGGGCTTTGTGTTTTCCTGGGAGATTAGTAATGCATGGAGCTTGCTGGGAATGGCAGAGGGGGTTGCCAGGAGCCAGGCTGCACCTGGGAGCAGATTCCCACTGCAGAGCAGGCACTCTGAGTGCTGGGGGGCAGGACTGGTGCTTTACTGGTCCTTACTGGTGGCTCCGTTTTGATTCCAGCTCTTTATTCCCGCATGTGTCGACCTCCAGTTTTGATCCCTGTTGCTCCTTAGGAACTGTGTGTGTGTCCCACTGCTCTGGGGACAGTGTGTGATGTCTTAGGGAAGCTGAGAGCCCAAATATCATAGAAAGCAGCCAAAGATGCTCCTCCCTGGTCAGGGGAGAGGCTTCGTTTTGTCCCTGTGGTCGCATTTAAATATTGGTAAGGAATTTCCTTCTCTCCTGGGGACTGTTCTGTACAAAGCTGTGATGGGTGGAGGAGGTGAACAGGAGAATTCACAGAATCCTGACAAAACCTTGGCTGGCATCTGGTGAGGCACAGGCAGGCACAGGTTGGCCAGAGAAGCTGTGGCTGCCCCTGGATCCCTGGAAGTGTCCCAGGCCAGGTGGAGCAACCTGGGCCAGTGGGAGGTGTCCCTGCCCATGGCAGGGGTGGCACTGGATGGGCTTTAAGGTCCCTTCCCACTGGGATTCTCTAGGGAAGAACTTCTGTCCAGGTGACACTACCACAGGCTGCCCGGAGAGGCTGTGGAATCTCCTTCCCTGGAGATATTCCCAAGCCATCCGGACACATCCCTGAGTACCATGCTCTAGGGAACCCCACCTGAGCCGGGGGTTGGACCAAATGACCTCCAAGTGGTCCCTCCCAGCCTCCCCCAGTCTGTGATGGCTCAGAGCTCAGTGCTCCAGGGAATCCTGCCCAAGTCCAAGGAGCGCTGCCAAGGGTTTGGGAGAGCAACTGGTGCCAGGGTGAGACACGAGGCCTGACTCAGCTGCTCCTCACTGGCAGTGGCTGGAAACCAAGGGATGGCTGGGAGGGATGAGCAGCACTGCCTGTCCCTGTGTCTGCTCTGCCTCCTCAGGCAGGAGCTGCTGCTCCAGGCTGGGCTTGGCGTGCCCGTGATGCTGCTGGAGGCCAAAGGCAGCCCCAGGGTGGGCACAGGCCCAGGGCAGGGATTGTCCCTGTGCTGGGAGCTGGGGAGGCCCCCCTGGAATCCTGGGGTCAGTTCTGGGCCCTCAGACAGAGCCATGGAGGGGCTGGAGCGTGTGCAGGGCAGGGAAGGGAGCTGGGAAGGGGCTGGAGAACTCCTGAGGGAGCTGGGGGGGCTCATCCTGGAGAAAAGGAGGCTCAGGGGGGACCTTCTGGCTCTGCAAGTCCCTGCCAGGAGGGGGGAGCCGGGGGGGGTCGGGCTCTGCTCCCAGGGAACAGGGACAGGACAAGGGGAAACTGCCTCAAGCTGTGCCAGGGGAGGGGCAGGTTGGATATTGGGGAATTCCTTCCTGGAAAGGGCTGTCCAGCCCTGTCACAGCTGCCCAGGGCAGGGGGGAGTCCCCATCCCTGGAGGGATTTCCAGGCCCTGTGGATGTGGCACCTGGGGACATGGTCAGTGGTGGCCTTGGCAGTGCTGGGGATGGTTGGGCTCGATGGGCTCACGGGGCTTTTCCAACCTTAACAATTCCAGGATTGTGTGATCTGTGGGACCAAGAGCAGAGCTGGAGAAGGGGAGGCTGCAGAGAGAGTCATCAGCAGAGCGTGGGGGGTGAGGAGGCCCAGGGAGGAGGGAGGGGATGAGTAAGGACGTGGTTGTTTACTCAGCTCGGCGCAGGCTCCTCGAGCAGGAGCTCGGCAGGACCGGCAGCTGCAGGTAGTGAAGGCAAAACCTGCCAAGGTTCTCTTCCCTCCCACCTCTCCCATCGCTGAGCAATCCTCAGTGGTGGTTTTCTTGCTGAGGAGCAACAGGAGATGTTTGTTTTCCCAGGGAATACAGACTATTCCTCTATTCCAAGGCTTGTTTTCACTGTCAGCTTGGGAACCAGGGCTGGGACAAAATCAAAGGATAATTCTCGTTGGAAGCAGGAGGTGTCAGCTCTAAGCAGGGTCAGCTGTGACACAGATCATGTTCCTCAGGGTTTTAACCAAGTCTGGTCTCCCCCTCCAGGGGCACAGATCAGGTGTGGGATTTGGTGCCTGTCCTTGTTGGGATTCACGGGGTTCCTGCTGGTCCCTTCCCATCAAGGTCCTTCCTAGATGTCTGGCTGGCCATTGTCCTTGGCAGTGCCCTGGATGTGGCTTTTCATGGTGCCCCTGCACTTTGCAGTGCCTTAGATGGGGTTTTCCATCGTGTTCCCTGACATGGCAGTGCCTTGGATGTAGTTTTCCAAAGTGTTCCCTAAAATGGCCGTGCCTTTCCGTAGGCACTGACAGGTTTTCCATACTTGGAAGGACAAGTGTCCCTCCTCATTTAAGAAAAACATGGAGGAGGGGTGGGATCTGGTGGTGTCCCAGCGTCACCCCTGATCCGGCAGCCACGACCAGGACATTCCAGGAGGAAGATCCAGCTTCCCCCTGGATTTCCTGCGGGAGCTCCGTGCTTGGCACATCTGTGCCCATCTGCAGGCCAGGCAGGGTGTTCCCAGGATGAGTTCTCCTGGCACTGGGCCCTGTCCTGTGACAACCAGGGCACGGTGACCGAGCTCAGTGCTGCCCAAATATCCTCGTTTCAACTCCTGGCCATTCCCAGAAATAACCACGAAGGCAGGACTGGTTTTTTGGATCGTGATGCTGCCGAGACCATGACAACGTCTCTCCCGAATCAAACCATGGCTCCATCTAGTGCAGGATCCCATCCCAGGCACTGCTGGCAAGCAGATTCCTGGGGGGGGAGGGAAAACAGGGCACAGATGAGATAATCCTCCTGAATTCTCCTCACTCAGGGGGTTCAGGGCACAGAACAGCTCCAAAAAGCTCCTCCGTGGCTTTGTCCGGGCTCCCTTTGAACCTGTTCCGTGCTGCCGGTTCATTATCCCGCCTCGGGATCGCAAATCCCCAGACTGTTCAACAAAAATAGCCCAGCTTTGAGCACGAACAACAGCATGGGGTGAAAGTCCAGTACCAAAATCCTCCCTTTTGTCCCCATTGGACTCTGCGTCGGGTGGAATTGCTGACGGATCCCGGGCGCGGTTGCTGGAGCTCTTTGGTGCCAGTGGACGGTGCAGGAGGAGCATTTTCTGGAAAGGAAAAGCTTTAGAGGCAAAAAAAAAATCCTCTCGGGAGCGGTTTGAGACCTTGAGAACGGCGGAACAGGGGCTGGGAAGGAGTTTTGGTGAGCGAGGGGTGAGCACAGGGAACGGGGGTTGGGATGGGTGGGGGTGGGTTGAGGCCGAAGGCTGGAGTGCGGAGGGGGGGGGGATTGTTGTATTAATGGATTGTAGGATCATGGAATTGCTTAGAATGGGTTGGGTTGGAAGGGACTTTAGGTCGTCTGATTCCAACCCCCAATTTTCCCTCCCCTTCAAAATCCTCCCGGTCTTTCCCAGAGCGTTCCCAGTGCTTGGAAAAGCTCTGGCTGCGCACCCAGGGAGCTGGTTTGCGGCACGAACGATGGAACCCGGCTTCCTTGGGCGCTCCCAGCGCTCGAGATCCCATCACTCGAGTCGCTGCTAGACCCTGCTGAGCTCAGTCTGGCACATGGGAACATATGCGGCCCCTCGGGGAGCCGGGAGGTGTGACGGGAGCGGCGCGTGCGGAGCCCGTGCCGGTGGCGCTCGGCTCGTCTGGCACGTTGGCAGGTGGTGTGGGGAGGGCTGGTGGAGCACGTCTGCAGTTCTGTCACTGCAGAGGGCTCAGCCTGGTGGGGAAGGGTTGGGCACAACCCCCTGCCAGGAGCTAAACGGGTGGGAGACGCCGTGGCTGCGCCGAGGGACGAGGAGCAAAGGGCCAGATGGAAACGCTCGTGGAGTCACAGAATGGCTTGGGTTGGAAGGGATGTTTAAGCTCATCTCATCCCATCCCCTCAGCCATGGGCAGGGACACCTTCCCCTGGACCACGTCGCTCCAAGCCCCACCCAACCTGGAATCACAGAATGAGTTGGGTGGAAAGGGACCTCGAAGCCCGTCCAGTGCCACCCCTTGTCATGGGCAGGGGCACCTTCCACTAGCCCGGGTTGTTCCAAGCCCTTTCCAGCTCGGCTTGAAAAGATGCAAAGTCAACTCAGATAGAAGCTGGGGCAGCAACTGATTGGTGGCACTCTGGGTTCTGTGGGAATGTCCCCTCTGACGTCACTGTTCCCCTTGTTTTCCAGGAGAAGACGAGAAACTTGCTGCTTCTTTGCTCGACGGGAAGTTTCCCCGGAGCACATCCATGCAAGACACTGTTAGGGAAGGACATGGGATTCCACCGCCACCCCAGACAGCCCCACCCCCGCCTCCTTCTCCCTATTACTTCGACACAGGACCCCCTCCATCCTTCTCACCGCCCCCACCCCCAGGAAGAGCTTACGACACCATCAGATCAAGCTTTAAGCCCAGCCTGGAGGCCAAACTGCACGGCCTCCCGCAGGTCATCAGCGCAGCCGAGATGTACGACCAGGCCAGGACTTCCATCCCTTACCCCGAGCGGCAGAAGAGAGCCCGATCCATGATAATCCTGCAGGATTCCTCCCATCTCCCCGTGGAGCCCACGGAGATCCCCCGGCCCGGCCCGTCCGCGACCCCCCCGGAGAAGCTGAAGCGGAAGGGGAGGGTCATCGACAACCCCTACGCCAACATGGGGCAGTTCAACGTGAGCCTGTTCGCGCCCACCAAGCCGCAGAGGAAGAAGAGCCCCCTGGTGAAGCAGCTGCAGGTGGAGGACGCGCAGGAGCGGGCGGCGCTGGCCATCACCGGGGGCTTCAGCAGGGAGCCCTCGCCCACCCGCCGGGGCCACCGCCTGGGCGGGGTGGAGTACCAGCACCACGCCGGCATCGCTCAGGTTGAAGCCACGAGCATCCCCTTTGCCACTGCCATCGCTGGCGTCATGAAGGACCGAGACCGTCGCCTGGATGAGAGGCGGAAATCCACTGTCTTCCTCTCGGTCGGGGCCATCGAGGGGACGCCCCCCCCGCCCAGCGAGATGCCGTCCCTGCAGCAGTCCAGGTCCATCGATGAGCGGTTGTTAGGAAGCCGAGATGTTCTACTGCCTTCCCCCGTCTCAGCTTTAAAGCCATTAATTAGCAGCTCATCCTCGACGTTCATCCACCCCCTCACGGGAAAGCCCCTGGATCCGAACTCCCCACTGGCGCTTGCGCTGGCCGCAAGGGAACGGGCCCTCTCCACCCAAGTCCCATCCCGGTCGCCCACCCCGATCCACAGCCCCGACTCAGACAGAGCAGCACCCCTGTTTGTGGACATCCAAACCAAAGAACCAGAGAGGGGCGACTTGGAGAGCTTGGTGTCCCCCGCGTACTCCCCCGGAGGCAAAGGAGTGATCGGAGCGATCGGAGCAGACTCTGGGACTTTGGCCCCCGCCAAGAGCCCGTGGGGGACTCCATCCACACTGAGGAAAGAGACCGAGGCCCGAGCGGAGACCCCGGGGAAGGAGGAGAAGAAACCGGAGGACAAGAAGTCCATGATCATCAGCATTGTGGACACGTCGCAGCAGAAGACCGCCGGCCTCATCATGGTCCACGCCACCAGTAATGGCCAAGACGAGATAGGACTTGAGATAAAAGAGGAGACCCCGGCCGTCCCCGAGGCTTGCACGGAGCCGGCCGAGTCCCCCAAGGCAGAGCCCCAGCCCAGCCCCGTGGGGAAGCCCCCGGTCAGTCCCGCCGCCGACAAGACGCTGGGCCAGGGGAGCTCGGAGGAGGAGGTGGAGCCCTACACGGTCACGCTCCCGCCGGCCCAGCTGTCCTCGAGCGACGAGGAGACCAGGGAGGAGCTGGCCAAGATAGGGCTGGTGCCTCCGCCCGACGAGTTTGCGAACGGGGTCCTGGTCACCACCCCCGGCACGCCCGTGAGCCACCTGGCTACGCCCAGCACGCCATCCATACCAGCGGCAGCAGTAGCACCTTCTACCACTGGCGGAACACCCTCAGGGAAGCCCTCTGATGCCCCCGCAGCCCCGGAGTCCGCCGCGGACTCGGGAGTGGAAGAGGTGGACACCAGGAGTTCAAGCGACCATCACCTGGAGACCACAAGCACCATCTCCACGGTCTCCAGCATGTCTACGTTGTCCTCAGAGAGCGGGGAGCCCACCGACACATACACTTCCTTTGCGGATGGACAAACTTTTATACTCGAGAAGCCACCAGTGCCTCCAAAGCCAAAACTCAAGTCCCAGCTCAGCAAGGGGCCAGTTACTTTCAGGGACCCACTTTTGAAGCAGTCTTCGGACAGCGAGCTCATCTCCCAGCAACATGCGGCCACGCTGGCGTCCGCCAGCATCGGCCGGCCACGCTACCTCTTTCAGAGAAGGTCCAAGCTATGGGGGGACCCCATGGAGAGCAGGCCCATCCATGGGGCTGACGATGACAAGCCAACTGTGATCAGTGAGCTAAGTTCCCGACTCCAGCAGCTGAACAAGGATACGCGGTCGCTGGGGGAGGAACCGGCCGGGTCCACCTTAGATCCCGGGAAGAAGTCGCCGGTGGTGGCGGCACGGTAAGGCGCCGGCGCTGGCCGGGGACGGGCGGGGGGGCGCGGAGGGGAGGACGGGCTGTGCGGGGGTGTGACTGTGCTGAGTACCCGGGGTGCGTTTTGAGGGGCGTTGCAGAGGTGGCAGGAGCTCGGAGCCGGGAGCTTCCCAGGAGCTGCCCCGGAGCGGTGGGATCGGCGCGTGGCGGGTCGCTGTCGCTTTCCCCTCCCTCCCGTCGCTCCGTGTCCCTCCTGTCTGGCGCTGTCGTGACGCTGCTGTGCCGAGTCCTGGGTTTCGCCCTCCGTGTTTGCTCCTGAGCGACCGGCAGCGAACGTGTGTTTCTCTAGTGCTTCTCGTTCCAAAGGAGCTCCAGATGTTGTCCCGTGTCGGAGCCGTGGGCAGTCCCTGCCGGGTGGGTGGGTCACTGGGGTGATCTGTGGCATCCCCCAGACAGGACACAGCAGCACCAGCCTGACCTGTGCCCACTGAGCCCCATTCCTGCCTCACCCACCCAGCCCTGAAACCAAACCAGTCCAAAAACATCTAAACTGGAATCCAGAGATTGGAGCACAAACCCTGATAAAGCTTTCAAAAAGAAAGTTAAAGCAGGAAGTGACCCAGAACCTCCAGTGTCACACTGCCCTTTGAGGTGCAGCCCCACAACACCTTCCAGAGCACAGAGCCACCCTGAGCAGTGCCACCGGTGTCACCCAGAGGCTGCCAGGGGCCTGGTGAGGTACAGGGAGCTCCGGGAGAGGGGCAGCCCTTCCCTTGGAAAGGCTCTTCCCACCAAACCTCCACGTGGTGCTGGCACAGCAGATGACATGCCAGGCTGTGGTGTGAGGGACCAAGTGTCCCCACGTGTCCCAGGAGAGCACGGGGTGGCTCCAGCCTCCCTCTCCCTGTGGTGCCCTCGGCAGTGCCATCCTGGTGGCACCACCTCGGGGGTACCAAACTGGGGCTACTGGAACTGGACCTGGGGGTCTCACTCACCTGGCAGGTACCTGCACCCCTTGTGCAGGTGGCAGCCATTCATGTCCCACCCGGGGTCCCTCTCGCTGCCCTGCTCAGGTCCTGTGCCGGATGCATTTGGGGACCCTCTGGAATCGGGTCCCCCACAGCTCAGTGCCAGCTGTGCCCCCCCTCCAGTGGTGCTGGAAGATCTGGGGGCTCCCAGGTTTTAACAGCAGCTCCAGCTGTGCATCCCTGCCAGGCAAGGGGAGCCCTTCCCTTGGGAAGGCTCTTCCCAAAGGCTCTTCCAGCCAAACCACCACGGCCTCTGGTGATCCCTCCACGTGGTGCTGGCACCTCTGGGGGGCTGTTCTGGGGCCCCCTGACCCCTCTCACTGGCTCTGATGAAGGGGCTGTGAGTCCTCTGTCTCCCAGTGACTGCAGGTGGGAACACATCCCTGTCCCCATCCCTTCCCTGGCCTCCCCATCCGTGCCTGTCTGACCTCCTGATCCCCCCACAGCAGGTACCCCAATCTCCAGGAGCATCCCTTCTCCATCCTCTGCTTCTCTTCAACCCCCTCCCTGCCCTCCACCACTGCTTTCCTGCGATCCCTGTGCTTCCCATGCCACTCCCCAGGAGCAGCAGAGCCCCTGAAGCCTCCCCTGCCCTCCTCGCTCCAAACCCCCTCCCACCACCAGTGTCTGGCCCTTCCAGCTATCCCACAGAGTTAAACATTCCCATTCCTTTTCCCAGAGTCACAGCCTTTCATCTCTGAGATTTTCGTGCTCCCAGTTGGTGGCAAAGACTTGAAATATTTCCCAGGAAATGGGCTGTAAATAGAATATTTAATGATGTCAGTCCCTCTCCCGCATTGTCCAAGTTCCTCTCTTTTATGGAATTGCTGTAAATTCAGGAAATAATGGAAGGAGCAGTTAGGTAAGAGTGGGATGACCCAGTTCAGGACATGGTTTCCAGGCCCTGGAATTGTCTGGACAAGGACAGGGTCACCTAAACCTCCCTCAAGAGCTGCCTGGAGCCAGAGGTGTCCTGGAATCCCACAGGGAACAGGGACAATGAGGTGTCCTTGTGTCCCACAGGATACAGGGATAATGAGGTGTCCTGTAGTCTGGGAATGTGGACACTGAGGTGACCTGGAGTCCCACAGGGATGAGGACAATGATGCATCCTGGAATCCCACAGGAATGGGTCAGGGAGGTGTCCCAGAGTCCCACAGGGAACAGGGATACTGGGGTGTCCTGGGGTCCCACAGGGATGGGGACACCGAGGTGTCCTGGAGTCTCACAGGGAATGGGAAAGGTGAGGTGAGGGGATGGGGACAGGGAGTGGGAACACTGAGGTGTCCTGGAGTCCCACAGGAAGCATGGACACTGAGGGGTCCTGGAGCCCCTCAGAGATGGGGGCTGTGAAGTACCCTGGAGTCCTGTAGGGTGCAGGGAATTTCTTCCTGCCCTAATTCTGAATTTACAGCAGTTCCATCCGAGGGCAGGGATTTCCCTGCACGTGACAGCTCCAGATCAGACCCTGGAGCATTTTTTTCCCTCCCAGAGCTCTCGGGGTGTCCTGCCTGGGCAGCCTGGGATGAGAAGACACAATCCCTACCTTCCTCCCTAGCTCTAACTCTGGCTCTGTCTCCTTCCAAGACGGGCTCCCACGGAAGGACGTTTGACCAGAGGGACTGAGAAAGAGGCCAAGAAAGACTGAGAATGGGAACGTGAGGTCAGAGTTGAGGAACTGATGGAGGCAGTATTGATTCCATCCCCTCCCCGGGACCGGGACAAGGCACATCTGTGTGCCCAGGCTGAGAGGGGCTCACCTGGCACAGCTTCTGCGCGGTCCTCACCGGTGGTGACGGTGACAGCAGAGCGGAGGGACAACTTCCTTTCATCCTGTCCTTGGGAATAAGGGATGGCCCCTGTGGGGGGGACACATGGACTCAGCTCTGCTGGGAGCTGCCCTGGCAGTGGGAGGCCAGCAGCACCTTCTTCCTGTTTAGCGTGGAATCACAGAGTCACTGAGGCTGAAAAAGCCCTCTGAGCCCACCAGATCCCATCCAGCACTGCCAAGGCCACCACTGACCATGTCCCCAGGTGCCACATCCACACAGCTTTGAAATCCCTCCGGGGGTGGGGACTCCCCCTCCCTCCCCGCCCTGAGCAGCCCATTCCAGTACTTTACAATCCTCTGGGGGAAGGAATTTCCCCAATATCAGCCTGCCCCTCCCCTGGCACAGCTTGAGGCCGTTTCCCCTTGTCCTGTCCCTGTTCCCTGGGAGCAGAGCCCGACCCCCCCCGGCTCCTCCCTCCTGGCAGGGACTTGCAGAGCAGTGATGGATCCTGGAAGATCCAGCCCGCTGAGCTGCGGGAGAGGGATGAGGTGTCCCGGTGTCTGTGGCTGCTCTGGAGCTGATCCCGAGCAGCGGGAGCTGATCCCGGGCAGTGGGAACTGATCCCAGACAATGGGAGCCGATCCTGGGCAGTGGGAGCCGGTCCCGGGCAGTGGGAGCCGATCCCAAACAGCGGGAGCCGCTCCCAAACAGCGGGAGCCAATCCCAAACAGCGGGAGCCGCGCGAGGCCCCCGCAGCGCAGCGGGCTGGTTGTGTGACACCCGTGTCCCCAATAAAGCTGACGCTGACGACCGAGCGGTGTGTGCGTGTGCTTGGGGACCCGCTGAGTCCCGGCCCGGGTGACTCCACGTGCCAGGTGACATCCCCGTGCCGTGTCCCCCCTCCCCACCGTCCTGTGCCCGGCCGCGCCCATCCAGGCTCCTGTCATCCCTCACCCCGCACAGTCCCATCGGATCCGCCCCTCCCAGCCGGCTCCCAGTGACTCCCCGGGAGCATCCCGAGTGTCCCGGGGCCGTCTGGGGGGCTCCCGAGCCGGGTCAGGGGTGCTTTGCCGAGGGGTCGTGGTGTGTGTGTGTGTTTGCTCGTTTGCTTGTCTGTTTATCTTTAAGCGACAGCCCAACACGCCCAAAAGTGTCACGTGAAGCAGAATTTGAGCTGCCAAACGGAGCGTTTCAGGTGCTGTTCTGCAAACCCACCACTTGCTTTGTATTTCTACAGATCTGAGAGAGAGAGAGAAGAAAAATAAGCCCTTGGGGGCATTTAGTTCCCAGGGTAAAGCTGCCTCTTTTTCCTCAACTCCTCGATTAATTCTGTTTCAGTGAACTGGTGTAACATCCCTGGCACAAGCTTTGAGCCGCTGCAGATACAACCCCCTGTTTCCTTGTAGGCTTCGGGTGTTTCCTGGTGGCCAAACTCCTGTGGGAAGCAGAGCTCTGCTCCGAGAGTCCAGGGAATTGGCCGTGGAGAGCAGATGGAAGGGATTGGAATCGCTGAGGGCAGTGGAGAGACGTGCACTCAACGCCTCTCCAGAGGGAGGGTGGGAATATTGGGAGGGGTTTTGTGTGGCAGCGAGGTTTGGAGAGGAGATGGCCCCATGTGGGAAGGAGATGGTCAGGTTTGGATGGGACACGACCGAGTTTGAGGATTGAGGAGGAGGAGGTGGCCAGATTTGGAGAGGAGGTGGGCAAGTTTGGCGAGGAGGTTTGGACAGATTTGGGAAGAGGTGGGCAGATTTTGGAAAGAGGTGGGCAGATTGGAGGATGAGGTGGGCAGGTTGGAGAACGAGGTGGGCAGGCAGGAGGACGAGGTGGGCAGGTTGCAGGAGGAGGTACCCACCCTTGGCACGGTTCCATCCCGCTTCCTGCCGCTGCCATCGAGCTTGGAGATGCTCAGTCCACCTCCACAGGTGCCTAAAAACATCCATGGCTCCGTGGATTCCTCTTCCCAGGGGAGGTTTCTGCAGGGAGGACACAAACATGGACATGCTGGTGGGGCCCAGGCCTCGCAGGGGGGGCTCAGGGAGGCAGGAGCTCACTCAGGGAGCCATTGCTCTTCCTTCCAGGTTGCCATGGCATTTTCCCAGCATTCTCCAAGGATGTCAGGCTGAGGATGGGGAGCTTTTCCATCAGCAGGGCCGTGGGGAGCACAGGGAGGAGCTGTTGCAGTTTGGGCAGTGGAAAAGCCGGAGTTTTTGGAGGGGCTGCGATCG